AAGTGGTTACAGATGTGACTAAACAATTGCAACAATAATTTAAATTCTAGTCACCGTTGGTGACAGTTGAGAAGTCTTTGCTTGCATCCATATCATCAGTTTTGTCATATTAACTCTCTAAAGTGGTAGTTCTCAAACAGGGGGCTTCAAGATAACTTAAAAGTATTTAAAATAAGACAAAACAAGAACTATGATTACCACGATCTTGAAAAACCTAGATATTTGATACAGCCTAATTTAAAAAAAATGATTTCTAGACTTAGGAAAATTCATGTAAATTAATTAAATCTTTTAACCCTGTGAGCATTTTTTTTTTAATTTCCAGTTATGCCAAGCTCTGAAATTTCTCATCCAGAAAATCACAAACAAGTAGAAAAGTCATGGGGACTAAAAATATTTTTGTGGAGTATTGGTAACAAAAATACTGCCTTAACGTTTTGATTTTGATTTAGAGGACTCAAAAAGATTCACAAGACACACACCATTTTGAACTTGTTTGTGAGTTTACGATTTAAATCAAACTCATTTGTGAATAATTTAGAGTTGTCATAGACTTCATTAAACGTGAAGTCTTTTTTCAGCGACGTCCTATTCAAAATAATCTGGGAGCCTTTACTGTGATTAGACATGTGCCAGTATTTGGTAATGCGATATATCACGGTAATGAATATGCACACTATTGTTATTGTGGGCACTTCAAAATACCGTGAATAATTATTTATTACAAATTATTCAGATTTTGTGAATGCATTTTAAGAATATTTTCTAGGGGTGCTCCGATCAGGATTTTTGAGGCTGATCACCGATCGCCGATCACAGAAAGCAGTATCTGCCGATACCGATCACCGATACCGATCTTTTTAAAGCCTTCTTTTTATCATTTATAACTATTTATAGTGATACTCCAATCAGAATTTTTAGACATTTATTCAGGGCCTGAATTTCATTTTTGAAAATGGGGGGGAATTCTCCTCATAGGTGTCTCTTGTGAGAGGAGAAGCAGCTTTCACACAATATTTACTGCAAACAATGCGCTGTTACTTTAATTCAGTGCTTGCAGCGCAGCAAAAATAGACTCGGTGTGGAAACGATCTCTGCACTGATACAGACGCGCCGTTCCTGGAACGCACTGCAGGACCGCAACCGTGTGCAGTGAATGCTTTAATCCGTTGACATGAGCGCGGAAAAAATAAGCACCACGTATGCACTGCAAACGGAGTAATGTGAACCTGGCATTATGTGTGTGCGCTGCGAGTGCGAGTGTGCATGAGCGCACGGTCCCCAGGAGAGCGCGCGAGCGCTGAATGGTTAAACACTGGCAAGAATTAAAAAGAAATGCAATTTATAAACTTTAGTAACGATGTGACACTGCCTCGCAAGTGACAATTCCTGTCAACTGTGCAGCATGCAGCTCACTTATAGACAGACGCGATGTGGTGATTTGAAACCATTTGCATATTTTGAGAGAGAAAGAGTGAGAGTGAGAGCGCGTGCGCGGTGATTCACTCACCTTGTTTGTGAAATTACGTCTCACACAAAGTTTTCAAATGACTTTGACAAAAGACAAAAGACTTTTTAAAAGTTATTTAATGAAATAGCATTATAATTATTTTACCCGCACCGGACAGAGACTGAGATGGTGCCGCTGCATGTTGTGCCAAACCTCTCACAGCAGCGTCATCAGCTTGAGATCGGTTTTTTGACATGGGCCTTTTTAGAGACCGCCGATCGATCATCCCAACGTGATTATCGGCCGATTGTGATCGGTAGCCGATCAATCGGAGCGCCGCTAATATTTTCCCCATCAAGTGGTTACAGTGCGCAACACCGCTGTATGCTGCGTGAAAGACGCGGGAGCACTCTCATGTAAACAAGCACGGATGAGAAGCGCATGGCGGAACACATGAAAGACGCTCTGGATGAAAGCGCACATTCACTCTCCGACAGCAGATGGCGCTAAACTGCAGAAATGCAGCCGTTACCCCGGAAACCCCATAAACAAAGCAGCTGCACTACTTTCTAAAATGTATTTAAATGGTTTAAACAGCCATTCAGATTTTTGTTTTCACAGTGGTGTTCATCACAGCACCAAATACTTCAATATTTAGACTCACTAGGTCATATGATGCGATTTGAGCACCAATAATGTACAGTATGTGGAAAATAATGTGTTTTTTTAACCTTAAACCGCGTAAACACATTGCATTACATCAAATACACAAAATAATGTTCTTTTTAGCAACATCATATGACCCCTTTAATAGGCTATTTATTTTCAAACTTTTTTACATTTTAATTTAGACTACAACGTGCCCTAGATATTGTTTGAAAAAGTTTAGATTCTTTGTTGTTTGGTCACACTTTAGGCTACATTAAAGCTCTGTTAGTTAACATTAGTTAATTAATTAGTTAACATAAACTGCCAATGAAAAATTTTTCTAAACATTCATTAATCTTAGGTAATTTCAATATTTAATAACACGTTAAAATCAAAATGTGCAACTGTGTTATTTAATGAAACAGTTGTGTTTTTTTAACAAAGATTAAAAACTTCAGTAGCAAATGTAGCTATTGCTCATTATTAATTGTAACTTTTTAATTAATTTTAATTTTAACTTAAGTTTAACTAATGAGATCATATTATAAAGTGTTACTTATTGGTCTTTATAATTATTTTGCACTTTAATCTGTGAATTTTTTTTTACTTTATGCATTTTTTTGTGTATTACTTTATTGTACACTATGTAAAGGTTCAGTTCTTTCTGTCATAAGAAAAAAGTTATTAAAGCTGTTATAGTTTGACAACACTTTTTTTGCAACTAAATTTCAACACCGTGATAATACCGTATACCGTGATAAAAGCATTAGCAATTAATTGCAACATGAAAATTTCATACCATCATATGCCTAAACTGTGATATATACTTCAGTTTATGAAACTTAAGATGCATATTCACATACACAAAACATTCAAGTCTTTTACAAAAAACAGTCACTGTTTAGTGCGGTTGAATAGACTGTAAGGGAAACTTTAGGTGAAATGCTGGAACCATAAGAATAGTGTAGCGCCCTGTGTTTTTTTTTTTTTTTTCAGTTTTCTTACCTCAAAGACCTTCCTCTCAAGAGTTTTCACGTTTGTTGAGAGGGTTCTCAAGTTACAAGCTGCGAAATTCCTCTTTGGCCTGGGTAAAGCTGTGAAAGCCATCGGAGCAGTTCGAAAAACAAATCCACCACACCGGGGAAAGACCCACGCTGGTGCCCGGTGTGCTATTTGTGTTTGTGCCTGTGTTTATTTTACAAGAAGGGTCTGAAATGACAAGCTTCTTCTTTCACTTAGTTTTCCACAGCTTCTGTGTCTGGAGCTTTATTCACAAAGGTGGGGCTCATCCATACATCACCCACAGTTTGTTTTGCTTTTTATAAACATGCACTCGTGATGAAATTCCAGGCCTTAGGTGAGTGTGGACATGTGCCCGTTTCATCATCTTTAATGTGGGTGACCACCCTGACCTCAGACATATTACACACTGACTAAAAGAGTTTCTTCTCTTCTTAAGTGTTAAAGATCATCAGTTCTCCTGATGGTGAGTGATTTTTTGGACGGGGTGGGAATCCATCAAGTTGTTATGACACATTCCGCAGCGATATTCCGTGTCAGGATTGTCATGGTAATGAGGCGCGCAAAGAGCAAATATAGTCATTGTGAGGAACTGTTGAGCTTGTAGGATATTTTTGAAGGTTTACAATGGTAAGGTGTAGACATAGAAATATTTAATTTTCCATAGCTCATTTAGCCCGGAATTAGGAGGCTTACACGAAACGTCTGCAGTCGTATTTAAGCAAATGTTTGGTGAGCTTTTGTGCAGTATGTAATGTAATTATTGGCTTTAGATGTATATCTAGTGTTTGTGTCTACGATGAGCATCATGTTGGAAAAACATGTGGTGCAATTGTACATTTAGGTAAAAGGTACTAGATGAAACTTGAAATCCACCTGAAGCCTATGATTTCTGGAAAGTTCTCTAGGAATTTTGCCACCAAAGGAATCACCCAGTGTACTTTCAGTAATAAGGAGATCACAGTTTTGAAAGAAAAATATAATTAGTATAATTATCATCAGTTATTCACATAAGCATAATGTTTGAAGGGAAGCTACTTTGAACCTGTAGCTTGCTAAACTAAAAGCTACAGTAACACTTTAGTATAGGGACCAATTCTCACTATTAACTAGTTCCTTATTAGCATGCCTGTTGTTAACATAGTGGCTGTTTATTAGTACTTACAAAACACATATTCTCCATGACCATATTCTACATCTCTAATCCCATATCCAATACCTAAATTAACAATTTCCTTACTAACTATTAATAAGCAGAAAATTAGGAGTTTACTGAGGCAAAAGTCATAGTTAGCCTAATTGTTGGACCTGAAAATAAAGTGTGACCAAAGCGATAATATATTTCATAACTCAACTGTAAAACATGTACAGTATAATTTGTATAACTGAGTTGAAAACCTTGTGGTGAATATTTATAGTTAAATGTTTCACAATAAGTAATACTGAAATACTGAATCGTTGTTGAAATCGTGTTTCAGTTTGGCAGTCAGTGAATCAGTGAGTTGTTTTTAATTGATTCTTTCGAATTAACTGATTTACTAGAATGAATCAGACTTTTGAGAGAGAATGTTTAGCAACTTTGCTGTGAAGTTGTGTTTGCAAGACAATGTAACCTTAAAAACAGTGTTTTGTTTTGCTGCATCTTGGAAAAAAGTAGCTAATTCCTGGAAAACTGTTTTACACTATTTTGAACTCAACTGAGCTACTATCACACTACTGAAAAATTACCAGAAAAGTAATTAACCAAAAGTCCTGGTGCATACGGATAAATTCTACCAGATATTCTACCTGTCATTGCCATTTTCTTCCTTGTTTCAGTCTAGCAGTTCCTTACTTTTATTTGTCAGCTTTCAGCAACTGTTGTCTCTTCTTTTCCACACAGAGAATCTTCAACTCCTTTGTGTACTCGGAGAAGACTTCAAATGGTGAAACAGAGGTGCAACAGGTGAGTTACTCATCATCATCCCTTGATACTGAGTGAGTGCTCTGTGTGTGTGTGTGTGTGGTCTAGAGGGGCAAAGGACACCCATTAAAATTCTGCAGTTGCTGTCTGCTGTCTTTGAAGCCATCTTTGTGCTTTCTACGGCTGAAACACTAATTCCAACCTCTATTGACTGTGCTGTGTCCTTCCAAAACAAGCTCTAGAGAAATGAGAAGATGGTTGCTCATGCTTTAGCTCTTTCTAACATAAATGCTTTTGGCCCAAGATCAAAACTCTCTGATTAGAAACCATTTTAAAGCTCTGTGGTATTAGGAGAAGAGTTTGTTTAATTACAAACATGCCTGTCTGTCAATATGGATAACATTTAAAGGGGTCATATGATGCTGCTAAAAAGAACATTATTTTGTGTATTTGGTGTAATGAAATGTGTTTATGC